AGGGGTGTTCTTCATAGCACAAAGAGAACACCTTACTCAAATTTGGAGAGAGGGCGTGGAGAAGTCAGATAAAGCTTCTTGGAGGAAGTGATACCTCAACTAAGTGTTAACAAATGAAACAGGTGCATGAGAAGTGGTGTGGGAGGGCATTCCATGGAGAAGGAGACGCGAGAGAGCCCTGTGTGTAGAGTTAGTGGGAAGATCATGAAGGGCTTTTTTATTATGTTAAAATTAGGGATGTTGGTACTGTTTCATGCTCCTACTTGTTACTGGTGTTTTAGGAAATTAAAGTATCAGTATATTTTCTAAATTTATTAATTACTTTTTGCTATTTCTGGGCATTAGTAGGCATTCCCATCTTCACCCCTGATCTCTGGTTGATTAGAGTCCAATGTCTTATTTTACTCTGAGTGCCAAGCTAACTTAAGTATAAAAATGCATAGTACTCCTATTAGAGAAAGTTTAGCTTTTGCTCTCCACATGATCCTTACTGTTACGGCAAATATTAAATTCTAATGTGATGTGAAATAATGTAATAGAAGTTAACTCGGGAGTGGCATGAATTGAAAACAGTGCATCAGTACAGCTAGCAACATGGTGAAAATTACCAAAGTACTATTACTAGGCAAAAATATACACCAAAACTCAAATGGAATGAGTTGATTCCGACTCATAGTGACCCTACAGGACAGGGTAGAACTGCCCCATACAGTTTCCAAGGCACGCCTGGTGGATTCGAACTGGCGACCTTTATTTTTAGCAACCGTAGCTCTTAACCACTGTGCCACCAGGGTTTCCAAAATATATGCATGACATAACATTTGTCTCAGTCATCTAGTGCTGCTCCAACAGAAATACCACAAGTGGATGGCTTTAACAAAGAGAAGTTTATTTCTTCACAGTCCAGTAGGCTAGAAGTCCAAATTCAGGGTCTCAGCTCCAGGGGAACACTTTCTCTGTTGGCTCTGCGGGAAGGTCTATGTCATCAGTCTTCCTTTGGTCTGGGAGCTTCTCTGCGCGGGAACCTCAGGTCCAAAGGACGCGCTCTGCTCCCAGCACTGCTTTCTTTGTGGTATGGGGTTCCCATGTATCTCTGCTTGCTTCTCTCTTTTATATCTCAAAAGAGATTGCATTAAGACACTAATCTTGTCAACCTCATCAGTATAAACTCATCACAGTGATAGAATTTACAACACATGAGGAGATCACATATCTCATTGTAGTGGTAGAGTTTATAACACATAAGGAAATCACATCAGATAACACAATCATACAGTACTGGGAATCATGACCTAGCCAAGTTGCTACACCCATTTTTTGGGGGACATAATTCAATCCATGACAATATTTCACATTGATGTTTGCCCTATTTTAATGAAGTGTCTTCTGTCTTGATGATGATGGTGATGATAAATAATTATTGAGCATTTACTATGTGCCAGGTCCTGTGGTAAGTGCTTTCCAAGTATTATCTCACCTGATCTCATTATTGTTATTTGTCTCTCAGAAAACTAACCCACAGAGTCTATAACTGACTTGACTAGAGTCACCTAGCCAGTGAATAATGGGGTAAGGAAACAAAACCAGGGAATCTGACCCTGTGCCCGTTCTCTTACCCACTCTGCTATATTATATTGTTTTTTTTCTCTTTTCCACAAGCTTTATTATTCCATTATAAAAGCTTAGTTCAGAAATAAAATCTGTTAACATTTTTTTCATCGTATTCAGATATTTTTATAGTCATATGCTAACCCAAGTCTTTAGAAATCATTAACTGGAAAATACATGTTAGATTTCCACAGAATATGTATAATATAGTATCTGCTTAAAATAGCATTTATTCTCATGATTATGTGTAACATGGGTAAATGACATGAAAAGCAGGTATCACTGAAATCTGATCTTTGTTTGAATTCTGAGAAGCATTATAGAGTGGCAAGCCAGGCAGGTATCTACATAGCTTGAATATAGAACGTTTTTTTTATCGGCATGTTCTTTATTCATTTTCGTTTGACACATAATTCTAATATCTTTTAAAAATTGCTTACATTAGGAACGTAAGAGAGCTCTAGAGGCAGAACGGCAGGCCCGTGTAGAAGAATTATTGATGAAGAGGAAAGAACAAGAGGCCCGAATAGAACAGCAGAGGCAAGAAAAGGAAAAAGCTCGTGAGGATGCAGCCCGGGAAAGAGCTAGGTACTTCATTTGCTATCTTGATTTTGGTCCTGATGAATATTTTTTACTGAATGAGTATTGGAGTCAGGCCATAAAACAAAGCCATTGCTGTCATACATGAAAGCAAATTTAGAAATTTTTAGATTTTTAAAAAATAGTCACAAATAGAGAAATGCACTAAATTTTCATTTCTAGGAATTGTGACCTCATACTCAAAATGTAAATCTTGTGAAAATTTCTGTTGGATGAGTGACTTGGTACTTCAGGATTCTTTTTTGGTTGCCAGAAGTAGAAGTCGACTCTTGCTAGCTTGAGTCAAGGGAATTTATTGGGAAGATATTGGAGTATAAAGGATAGGAGGTTGGAGGGTCGGGTTTGGAAATTGTTAGTTATCAAAGGCTAAGTCGCAAGAGCCCCAGCAATGGTCTTTTGTTGGAAACAGTCTGGTGAGCATGTACCAGTCTGATTACGATAAATTACCTTTAGTTCTCCACATTTTTTAATCACCTGCATAAGATTCAGTGTTCCAGGAAAAAGCATTTGATTGGCTAAGCCTAACTCTCTTTCAGTTGTTCTGTATTCTTGCTGATGTGATATTTTCTGACCTTTTAATTGTAGCAAATTTGGTGGCTGTGAAATGATAGTTCCTTGTGGTTTTAATGTGCTTTTCTACATGTCACTGATTAATAACAAGGCTGAGCAGCTTTTCACACATTTATGAGCTACTCATAGTTTTTCTTGTAAAGTAGCTATTCAAGTTTTCTGTCCATTTCTCTATTGGGATCTCTTTTTGTATTGATGTTTAGGAATTATCTTTATTAGATACTAGTCCTTTGTCACTAACATGAATATAGATTGTGGCTTGCTTTTTCACTCTTTTCATTATCTTTTGATTAACATTAATTCTTGATTGCAGTGTGGTAGAATTGAACAACTGTTTTTTTTTATTTTTGCTTTTTATGAAATCCTTTTCTGCCATGAGTCATGTTGTAGTTGTTGTTAATGTACCGTTGAGTCAATTTTAGACTCATAGCGATCCAATGTGACAGAGTAGAACTGCCCCATAGGGTTTTCTAGGCTGTAATCTTTATGAGAGCAAATTCCCAGGTCTTTTCTCCTGCAGAGCCATTGGGTGGGTTCCAACCGCCAACCTTTTGGTTAGCATCCAAGCTCTTAACCACTGCGCCATCATGGCTCCTACCCTGAGTCGTAAGATACTCTTAAAAATTCTATAGTTTTGAGTTAGAATTGACAGCACTGGGTTTGTTTTTGGTTTTGGATCTTCCATAGTGAAATCTTTACCTACCTGGAATTGATTTTAATGAATGGTTTGACGTAGGAGTCCAGTTTCTTTTTTTTCCATGTGGATACACAGTTGTTTTAGCGCACTTTATTGAAAATCCACTTTCCTCTCCTTATCTACAAAGCTTTCTAACATAAAGCAAGTTTCTATGTATGTGTTTATCTGTTTTGCAGCTCTGTCATCTGGTTCAGTGTTATTTTTTTTATCCTCTGCCTTAATTATCAACGCTTTATAATAATTCTTGGTTTCTGATAATATCCCTCACCTTATTCTTTATGAGGACTGTTTTGGCTATTCATGGCCCTTTTGTGCAACTATATTAGTTTTAGAATCAGCTTGCTCAGTTCTGCATTACAAAAGAAACTGTCAGAATTTTTATTGAAGTTGCATTAATCTACACATTAATGTAGGGAGAATTGATATTTTTGATACTGAGTCTTTCAGCTTATGAACATTGCTACTAAATGTTGTCCCACTTACTTAGGTCTTTAGAAACATCTTTACTTTTTTTGTCTTGTTTTGTTTCCAAAATTTATTTAAAATTAAAGAATAAAAAAACTTTATATAAAAATATATTAGTTTTAGAATCCACATTGTTGTCCGCACAAAAAATTTGAAATATGATATCTTTTTGTTAACCCTGTAAGCACATAACCACCATGTGCTAGTTCATTTGGTTCAGCATGTCTGAAATGGAACATGATACCTATATCTATGAATGAGCTTCAAAATACGCACCATGCAGACCAGGGCTGTAGACCAGGACTTTGAACTGGTGGACCAGTTCACTCTGGTTTGAACCCCTGCTGAGAATTTGCATTTCTAACAAGTTCCCAGGTGATGCTAACGCTGCTGGTTAGGGACCAGTTCTGAGAACCACTAGTAGAGCCCAGAATCCACCCACTGCTGTCATGTCAATTCTGACTTATAGCAACCCCATAGGGTTTTCAAGGCCATAAATCTCTACGGAAGCACTCTGCCACATCTTTCTCCCTTGGAGCCCACTGGTGGTTTTGAACCACTAACCTTCTGGTTAGCAGTCAGTCACTTTAACCACTGCACCACGAGGGTTCACTGCTAGTGCAGTGGTTCTCAAATTTTATTATACATAAGAAACACCTAAGGATCTTGTTAAAATGTAGATTCTGATTCAGTATATCTAGGGTGAAAATGCAAACTCTCAGCAGAGTTTCAAACCAGTATGAACTAGTTCAAAGTCCTGATGTAGATATTCACTAGTGTTTCCATAGTTGTTTCCTTAATGTACTCTTACAGTCAGTATTGCTAATCGGTAGAGATTAATATAGGCCTACATATCAGTTTTTATACATAGTTCTTTATCAGTAGGATCACAACTTAATAACTTTTACTTTCATCCTATTTTTGTCTTTTTATCTAAAGTGTGTCTCTTGTCTACTGCATATAGTTAGTTTTGTTTTTTTATCCAGTCTAACAATTTTTGCCTTTTGGTTGGAGTATTTAATACATTCTTATTTAATGTAATTATTGATATGATTGGAATTTTGTCTGTCATTTTGATAATATGTTTTATATATGATGCAAGTCTTTTTTTAATTGTTGTAATTAAATTAAGTTTACATTTCAAGTTAGTCTCCCATACAAAATTTTTTTTTTTTTACATACATTGTTATTAGACCCCAACCGCTCACCCCATTCTGCGACAGC